TGCAAAATGTGGACCGAATACAGATCCCAGACATTGGCGTCAAAGACGTGGACTGGGAGTACACCGAAGACCACTCCAAGTGGGGCATCACCACCGACGACAAGGGCACAGCCTATACATGCATTGCCGACATTAATCGTATGAAATCTCAGTTCAAGAGAGGCGGCGGTTCCCTGTGTTTCGCTGACGAGAAAGTGTGGCACATATTCAAGAAGTCGGTCGAAGGCATCGAAGGCTGTCACGCGAAGAGCGCTTCCAATCATAAGAAAGATTCTCATCATAAGGAGAGTTCTCACCATAAGAGCGGTTCCCACCATAAGAGAGGTTATTAGGATCAAAGTTTTGTTACTGTTGTCCATAATTTTGATTGTATGCCTTTTAATTCATATGATTCTCCATTTAATTATAGCCAGTATTTTGCCAACAATTCTTCCAACCATTTATTTATTTATTTTTTACAACATTTATTAATTTGTTTTTATTGTACGGTAATAATCATTCATTCATTTTTATTTACTATAATTGCCGTATTTTTTCTATAAATCCATTTAATTTTTTGACATTTATTATAATAATAACAAAAAGCATTAAAAATGATTAATTAAACACAATTTTTAAAGTATTTAAAGAGTATTTTTAAGATAAGAAATACAAGATTGCATTGAATTTGTGTTTCTCTACGTTAATTAAAACTGATTTGTGATGAAAAGTGAGGCCAAGAGCTCAACGGACGACATAAGTGCCCTCTTTGGTCACAAACGGACTCTTTCGCGGCCAGAAAGTCACCCTTTGCTCGTAACCTCTGTTCGTATGACCAGAAATGGACGGCCGATAATAGGAGATGAAGGCATTGGACGCGGGGTTACGGATGACACGGGTGTTGGCTATCGAGACCTCAATGGCTTCTCTCAATTCTCTCTCGTGTCTCGCCTTAACTTTCCTCTTCAGCCACTGGTCGTCCATAACTTCGCTCTTTAGGTCAGTCTCCTCTGAGCAATGGCTGGCCTTCGAGGTCATCGCCGGCTCACTCTTCACCACCGGCTCAGCGCTAAAGAGCGGCTCCGGTCTATACACCGGTTCAACACTATATACGTGTTCACAATTAAAGACGGGTCCAGTGGTGACCATCGGTGTTGACGTGTATCGGAAGTGATTGACGGGCGGTGTGGCCATCGGTGTTGTCATCATTGTGTCCATCGGATTAGCCAATTGTCTTTCGTAGTAATAGTAGTAGTAGTGATGGTTGGGTGAAGTATAGACGGGTGCAGTGACGTAGCCGTGGCCTAACCCACGACCATAAGTGCCAAATGAGTTCATACTTTGTGTCCGATCTTCAGGTTATCAGCGGTTGAATGAGTGGTGAGTTTTGGGGACCAATTGATTGAGCGCTTAAACAATGGTTTACGAAATACTATGCGTTGAAAAAGTAATGCATTTTTGTTCACATTTTCAATTCACTTCTACTATGAATATGAATACATTTACAGTTTTATTCAAACTTTTATTAGTATTTTTAAAATACTTTTAAATTATAGAAATTCAATGATTCATTAATTTATAATTTGTTTGTTTTAACTAAAACTTGTAATACAATACCAATTGTTAGTTTTATTTTGATAGCGATTGCATTTAACATAATATAACTGTCAGCTAAACAATCATTTAATTGACTCAACATAAGTTTATGCATTATTAACAAAATGAATTACACGTGAAATTTAAATCTAATTGTTAATTGTTGTAAAATTTTGATCACTTTTTATACTATCAGCAAATTTAACGAATTTGCATTTTTTTCATCAGTTTTAAGAAATTTTCTATTAGATAAGCGCTAAAACCTAAGAGGAATGGGTTGTTGTACTTCGAGTGGTAATAAATTGAGAGATAAAATTCCTAAGCGTTTACAAAAGGCTCAAGGTTTGAAGGAAACCAAAAGTGGACATTTAATACATAGACAGAAAATACACGACTATCGCCCAATGTCTGCAAAAGAGGTTAAAAAGGCGTTAAAAGAGCTAAAATTTGCGGATAATTATGTAACGGCATTCAGTTATCCATACAATTCCACAAATTTAGTTTCAAAGTGTGTGTATTTGTCGGGAATCGCGGCTCTGACTAAAGAAAACCTCGAGCTTCTGGGCATCACTTTAATCATAAACGCCACTTACGAGTGGCCTGATGTGCACACGAAGATGTGCATCAATATAAGAGTTCCGGTCAGTATTTCACAGATATTTTTATGTAATTTCAGAACTAATAAATAGTTTTATTGATTGTCTAAAAAGGTCGCCAACTCTGAAGGCGACGACATCTCCGTCTACTTCGACGACGTTTCGTATATTATCAACGAAAACATGCGAAACGGAGGCAATACTGTAGTTCATAGTGTCTTCGGCAAGAGTCGATCGACAACTCTTGTATTGGCATATCTGGTAAAATACGAGAGAATTGCGCTCAAGAATGCCTTCATATCAGTGAAGAACATAAGAGAGACCGCCAGACCTAACGTCGGCTTTTGGGACCAACTCATCAAATATGAGATTAAGATCAGAGGCGTTGCGTCCGTCAAAATGCTAACCAAGAAAGTGGACGGCTTTGACATTAGATATCCCGATCTCTATCCGGACACGTATGAGGCACTGTCGGCCGAAAGAGAGGCTCAAATCAGAGACAACATTAAACCTAAATCAAATTAGTAATTATGTATTTTGCCCAAAGAGTGGTCAGAATAATAGTTATTATCTTAAAAATCGGTCCATTAATATTCCACAATCCATTTAACAAATATTTTTTGCTATTGATTTTTATTTTAAAATAAAAAACATTAATTTATTGAAATGTAAATTTCTATACAAATTAAAATAAGCAGTAATTTATTGCTTGACGACAAACCTGTCATTGAATTGCAGTAATAATTAATTACTGTGCCGTCGATTGCATACCAAAAGGTTTTGTTATAATTAAACACATTTTCAATGCTTGATATGTAATGCTTT